ACCCAAATGAAACTCAGCCAGTCAAGACCGACTGCTGCCAGTGCACGACCCAAGAGGGACTAATCATAACCAAACGAAAACTCAAAGTGCAGAAAGTAGGTACAGGTTAGAGGGGAAAATGAGTTGACCATACCTGGCAAGAAGGATGAGATCGGGGATATCAGGTCCATAAACGGAGGAGCTGTTGAGGAGATGGAGATTCGCTTCTAACCATTTCCCGGTGGAATCAGAGTGCACGGATCCAACAGAGTAACCATACCCTACTGCTTTCTCTTCTCCATTTGCCAGGTAAGAGAAGGAGAAGATACAAATCAAAAGAAGCAGATAATGATTCAGAGCTGAGGACACTTCCCCCATGATATGTGTGATGAGGATACCTGTGTTTTTAGTTGGACTTTTTATAGCCTAAAAAAAAAAAAAAGATTAAAAATTGGTTCCTTCTTTAAGCTGCAACTTTCTATAAATTTTTTTCACAAAAGAACGAAGTTTTCCATATTAATATATCTAGAATATCAATGACCCATGTGCGACATCTTAACAAAAGCATATAATATTAAGAGGTAATGATAATTCAGCCTTAAGTTTCTCTTCGCATTTGTGATGATAAAATTGATGGATTTTGTGAGTTTGATGATATATAATATTATAAAATTATGATTATAATATATTAGTAAGTAAATAAATATATAATATTTAAATTTTTATATAAAAATTAATTATATAATAATTTATTATAATTATAAATTTATAATAATAATTATTATTATTTTTAAAAAGTCCCTTTCCAAGCTCAGCTTTTCATATATTTATTTTATTTTTATTTGATGTAGAAAATCAATTACGCGTGAGCAATATCTTAACAACCAGTCAAAACGACGAACCGGAACCGACCGGCTCCCTCTCCCTCCTCCTTATTTTTTTCACTTTTATCTCAACCCAAATCTTAAAATTAAATGATAAGATATATCATTTTCAAAGAAGTTGCAGACAAATTAAATTTACTTTACTTTTTGCACAATGGCGCAGGGCAACCTGTTAGCTTTAAGGTGCATTTTCCCTCCCTATAATCCGTATCTTGATAACTTGTTTAAAATAAAAATTACTTTTTTGGGCAATGATATGAGGGTGGTTTTTTCTATAATGTTTTATATAACATATATATATATATAATGTTAAATGAAAATGATTTT